ACTACTGAGGAGTCGCACAATCGAACGAGACGTTCGTCCAGTGCTTTCAGGTTTTCAATAGTGGTCTAACATTAATCGGTTTATGATCTTAACCAAAAAGCAGAGAATATTGTTAGAGAACAATCGATTTCGATAATTTGCCTATTAAACTCTTCATTTAATAATATATAAATGCTTTTATTATAGTGGTAATCAGTAGTCAGTTTTATTCATTGATTGAAAAATTAAATGGGTGTAGAATATAGAAAATGCGAAAATAAGGTAAGTGACTTGTCCTTCTCTTTATGTGAGGAACGAATTATAGTGACACACTGGAAGGAAATTGATTTATATAACCATTTACACTGGAATACAATGCTACCCATATTACATATGAAAACTTTATAATTATCTGATTTGTAAAGGTTTTTATTCTCTCGTTGTTGAGGTTGAGGATTGTGATCTATTATACGCCACTAGTATATGTATATTCTGAGCAGATTGTATCAATGTTTCCATCAAGTCATAAACTTTTATAAAGCTTTAGTGCTAGCTAGTAGTGGATTGAAGAAAGCGTGTTACATCCTATTTAAGGCCTGTCAGCTGGAAGTTACTATTTTTAAGCTGAGTAGCTTAGACAATTACTCGTTGGTGTTTGAGACGACAGGCACAGGGTTCGAGTCCCGATGTGAACGTTATTACTGAAATGCATATACATTTAGCAAATCGGTACCAAATAAGGTGAAATGAGCGTCGTGGATTCTATAACTAGCCGCTATTCAATTCTAATGCAAATTTATATCTATCTTTTTATAATTTTATCTTTGATCTATTTTTTACCATTTAAATTTCAAATCGCCATAGGTTTGCCAGTAAATAATACTAATTGATTTAGTCGTAACTCTTATCTATACCATGTGAGACGAAATATTTTCAGGTTTACAACAATAGAATCGGAAGCGTTGGAAGCTAAGTGATCCAGCTGTTCACTCATATGTTTCTTATCTTTTGTAATATTCACTAAGGATCTTTATAAGTTCCTTGGTTTGATACAGGGTGATGCTGTGGATAGTCATTGTTGAAGAATCCCATACCAAAATGGAACGGATATTCAAAGCTTCCAGGTTTTCAATATTTTTCTGGCTAAAATTAATTCGTGATATAAAACTATGGAACTTGGCATTCTTCACAATACTTTACACCCTTCTATACTGAAATGTTTAAATAATTTATTCAGTAGATTTAAATATAGGCGAATTGTTTCAAGCGGTCGAATTACCTAGCGAGGTATAGCTGTTACAAGTGGATATATTTAAAACGTCCACAGATTTTTAAATACTTAGATTCTTTTAAACCAATATGGATAAATGACAGAACAACTGATTAAATTCATAGATTAATCTATAAACATGTCTCGATAGTTCAGATGCATCACAAATACTAAAGTAAAATATGCACTTATTGACAACAATGGTTGAGGTGTATCATGAAAATATATCGAAATGGGTAGATACATGTTATGATATTTATCCATAGAGTTATCGACTGCTGAGGAGTCCCACAATAGGACGAAACGGCTGTCCAGTGCTTCCAGGCTTTTCATAGTGGTCTAGCTTCAATTGACTCATGATCTCAACTGTTGAAATTACTACAATCTCCACAAAACCCCTTCTGATATTGACTATTTGTCTGTATTAGAAGTTAGTAATTAAAGATTCTAAGTAGAATAAAATAGGAAATTCCATTAAAGTTTATTGAATAAATATAAACATTTTAGACTAATAATTGATGAGGTAAATGTTTTCTATTTTAAATATTGAGTCATGGTGATACATTATCCGATTAGTTTTATTAGACAATTTATTGTGTTTTTTTTTAGTTCGAACTAATCAATACTAATCACCCAAATAGTTTCCCACAGGAATTTTAAGTCGGTTAATAAATTATCTAAAGATTTGTAATTAGTAGTCATGGGCTAATATTTTCACATTGTTTTGGTATTCTGATAATAATGAGATCTAAATTTTTAATAGGCTTTAATCAATTATATTTATTGTTCATTTACACAGTGGTATATTGCTATATTATAAATTAACTTTATAGTTATATAATATATCCTTGTGGGTCAGGGTAATTTTACATTGGTTTTTAGGAGAACCAGACACCATCCAGAATTTCACGTGACAACCCAAACAGTACAGCTCAAACCCGTTTAACAGGAAAGTATAGGAAGTCAGGTTTGAATCGAATATCTTCTGGTTGAAAGTCAACTACAGTCATATTGTTATACAGATAATTTTCAAATATTTTTTGTATCAGCTAAATATATGAACGATTTATTATTATGTTAGGTGGTCATCCGATTATGTTACCGGTATACACGCTTCCAATAGGTGTGTTCAACCAGCTGTTTAGGTAAACTTTCAGAGGACAAATCGGGAACTTTATTAGAAAACCCGAATTAAAATATCCGCACAGATTTATCTATAAACGTAGATATATGTTTCTCGGATTACTGAGCCTGATTCCAACCGATAGCAAGTACCCTTCAATATTTTTGACCAGTGACTTGGCTTTGAACTGGTATATTTGAACGGCTTAGTCTATCGTCTTTGCTTCCTAAAATACGTCCTCTTACATGAGTTAAAGTAGGGTATTCTAGTAAGAATATGAATAAAATAATGTATATTCAATCCTGCTAACAAATCACATAACCAACGAATATTTTTACGGTATTCAGTAAAGGTAATCAGTATAAATCTCATCTTGATCTATAACTATTGATATGAGCCATCTAGACCGCAATATTAGGTATCGTGTTATCTGGTATATTCGGAAGTATTGTTTGTCCACAACTAAATAAGAGATCAGTCACATTTTAAATATAGCACTCACCAACATCGACTCAAACTTGACTGTTCTATTTTCAAATATCAGTCAACTGGTTCAGACTTCACTGTTCCTTCATTTTCACAACAATCATTCACTATTCTAGTTCTCTTTTCTTTGATCTCCTTAACCTTCTCCCTCCAGACATTTCACTTTCAATCGATGACACATACTTACTTATATCTGTGGACATCAGTAGTACACACCACACAATTACCGTCTTTGTTTTTCAAATTGATAACTATACATTTTCATTTTTCTTAGTAAGTTCATTACAGTTTCTTTTCACTTGACACTAATATACTTCCTAAAAAAATATTTCTATAGACAAGTTACTTTTGACACATATCAGATGAAATAGATTTGACAATGAATTTTATTGCTTAATATTTTACTTTTTAAAGTTCTCCAAGTAGTGAGTTTATAAATGATTAGTTCTATTTTCAAATGTATGTTGATTATACTACTTTTACAAACTTACTTTTATTAATATTCAACTATAAGCAAACCATCCACATATACACACAATATTATTCTTAAAAGCATTGTAATCAAATAATATAAAAATATTATGATTCTTTCTCTTACGAATTAACATCTTTAAATGGTATAGACAAATTATTCTGATTTTTAAGTCCCATACCAAATAAAACATGAGTATAGATAGATAAACAGGTCAAGTACATAAGAGGATGGAACTCGGTTCCCCACTATTTCTCTCTCTCTCTCTCTCTCTGTGATCATTCGATTTATTTTAATAGATATATCTTCTGATTCGAAGTCAGATGACTTATGCATTAGGCCACGGAGCTCACCAAATGCCCTGGTACGGCCGAAAGTGAGGAGATTGCATTCACTCTCTCAAAATGCTCTCACATAGCCACGTGCACACAACCACTGCCAGGGAAGTCTTGTACACTGTCTTCTCACGGCATTACTGTTGTTTTCCAAATTGAGAGGACAAAAAGTGAATGTCTGGCGCTTTAACCGGATTAGTGACCATGGTGGGTCTACCTAGGGGAGTTGGAAAACCCTGATTCCAAACCAATGATGCGCATGGATCCCAGGATCCTGAAGGAATAAATGGCGTATGAACCTATTGTTGGTCATCGGCTACCATGGGAGTGCATCTCCTTACGTTACTCCACTGCTTTGTGGATTAGACCCTTAGGTCAAAAGCTCCGAGTGTGGCCCCCTAAGAAAGCCATCTGCTTTAGTGGCGCATATCTATTTCGTACCTCCTTATTACCAATCTTTATGTGTTTAAATAAATAAAAAAAAAAATAAATATATCAATAAAGAATTGCATTACTACAGTAAATAATCAGTTCAATATTGATTTACTTAAAAGTTCTTTATCTATTTTATTGTTTCAACAGAGAAAAAAAACACTTCTCTTCTATAAAACTTTTCTATTATATAAAAAACAACAACACAATGTTGATCACTTATTCAAGAGTTCTCATTTCTAATTGCGTGTATTTTAGAATGGGAATGAATAAATGAATAAATGAATAAATAAATATGTAAGTATGACAGATTTCAATGAATAAAGAAAAAATTTAAAAGAAAAGTATTTTATTTAAATAATGTTATTTATCAAAGAGCGCCATTTTTGAAAAAAAGAAAGAAAGAAAAAACAAGCAAAAAAAAAGAAAAGAATTTAAAAATAATCATATTAAAGTATATAATGAGAATGGAAATATCTCTATAAAATCACTTCTATTCGGATAATTTTCTTCTGTCTTATAGCCATGTCTACTTTTATCCCCAGACATACACAAGCACAACTGATATATATATATCCTTTTGTTCACCAGTTTTCTTGCATCATAGCCATAAAAATTAAATTAAATCTATTGCATATATATATATATATATATATATATATATATATATTAGTTGGATAAATGAAAAGAGAATGAATTAATATGCACAGTAAACAAGTAAGACAGAGATGTATAAATGTGAATGTATGCATGAATTTATATACATATGTGACAATCAGGCAAAATGAAATATTGGTAAATAAAACTAACTGATTATATTGTTTTTAATGTAACAGTTAGTTTATCTTTAGTTTCAAGAGAAAATAACTCGTCATCATCGTCTTATACATTAGTAAACTTCAATCAGTTTATCTGTTCTTTTCTGTTATTTATGAGAAATTTTAATAATAATGATACTTTTACTGTTTTTATGATTTTTAATGTTATTATCACTGCTGCTGTTCCAGATAATAATGATGATGAGGATGGTGATGATGATGATTTGGATGATGATGATGATGATATACATGTATTTAGATGTACAGTATGTAAAAGTTTATGGATTTCATCTGCAGCTATCGGCTGTCAATAATTGTTGATGAGTGAAGTACTATTTCATGCAGAAATTATTATAGTATAAGCTAGTGGTATCCATCAGTAGATGTAGATAGTTGATTGATAAAAAATTAAAATAAGTATTATGATGTATAGATCTTTAAAAATTTATCTGTGATATTCTCCATTGTCTGTGTTATTGGAGTGCCTTTAAAAAGTAAGAAGTACTGTGCAGTTGTTTTGGTTTAGTATGAGATCAGAAGTTTAAGTCCAAAACCACTTGATGCTAAAAATCGTAGGAGTATGTCTTGAGGCTGAGTTAGTCACTCATAAGCAGCATAGAACCTGGGACATGCAGAAAGGTGTCTGTTTCATCGTTATAGACTCTGGACCATGTCAACCAGTGTCTTCAACTATTGCTTATGGCAATAGCATGAATCCTAACCAGTTAGTTTGAATTTACCTACATGGTTTAATTCAACAGTCAACGACTTCGTGCACCGATTCTGAGTTTTAGTTTGATCTACCTTAGCCGCCTTACAAACTACTACTACACTACTAAATATCGCGTCTTTTGAGAGGGGTAAATGGTAATCAGAGATACGAAATACATACTTCAACCACTTCAGTCGATAAAGACTAACTGCATCATCATCATCATCATCATCATCATCATCATCATCATCATCATCATCATCATAATCATCATCATCATCATCATCATCATCATCATCATCATCATCATCATCATCATCATCATCATCATCATCATCATCATCATCATCATCATCATCATCATCATCATCATCATCATCATCATCATCATCATCATCATCATCATCATCATCATCATCATCATCATCATCATCATCATCATCATCATCATCATCATCATCATCATCATCATCATCATCATCATCATCATCATCATCATCATCATCATCATCATCATCATCATCATCATCATCATGGGTGTTTGTTTGAGCTATTTTCTTCTATAAAAATTGCTGACTGATGTCAATCAGGGGAGCATCAAAAATCGTGGGATGGTAAACAGTTGTTTTAAAACTATTCTCATTTTTTACTTCCGTCTTGTTTTGGGTGTGAGCTGTTAAGAAATCTTAAACCATTATACAACGAGTGCCGCATACTCTGAAGTTATTTTTTATTTATGCTATTCCAACCACAGTAGAATATGCTTGTAAATACGAACTGATTTAGTGTATATTTGTGAGTGTGCAATATCGAGAATGAAATAACAGAAAGCAAATCACCCTATTAAACCAGATGCGCAATGTATTACGCAAACAAATCACTTTGGATTATATGATTTACATTGGGAAATTGATTGGATGCAGTTTATGTGGAGTTTTGTATAAGTTAAAGCTTCGTGCCAGTCAACACTTGTCAGAAAGGTGTATATAAAATCATTAGAGAAATGATGCTTTCTATATTACCCAATGTTATAGTCATGGAAAATACCATCAAGCTTTCCCAAGACATTGACTAACTTCCCACAGGACAGTTGTTTACATTAATTAGTCATTAAGTAGTAGTTGATGTAATGTCTGTCTAATCCTTAGAGTTTTTTGAATTCTGCTAATCAACAGGTTATATACTCGCTAGTCTATGTAACATCCTAACATGAAGTCCTAGTGAACGAAGAAATAACCGGAAGTACTATTTATAATACATTTGGTGAATATTAAGAAAGTTTCAGACAACCTCAACCTTTTTTTACTTACTTACGCCTGTTACTCCCAGGCGATTATAGGACATGATATCATGTTTGAGGTTAGTTTGCAATAATAATAATAATATTGATAATAATACTTACTAACTTGTGCCTGTTACTCCCATTGGAGTATAGGTCACCGACTAACATTCTCCGACCCACTCTATCCTGAGCCTTCCTTTCTATTCATACTAAATTGTTGCTCATTCTTCTCATATCTGTCTCCATTTCTCGACGTAATGTATCCTTTGATCTTCCTCTTCTCCTTTGGCCTTGAGGATTCCATGTGAGGACTTGACTTGTGACGCAGTTTGGTGCTTCCCTGAATGTGTGTCCTACTCATTTCCAGTGCTTATTCCTGAGTTCTTCCACCGTTGGGATCTGGTTTGTTCTCTCCCACAATAGGTTGTTTCTTATAGTGTCTGGCCAACGGATTCGAAGTATTTTGCGTAGACAGCTGTTAATAAACACTTGTATCTTCTAGATGATGGCTTTCGTAGTTCCTCAAGTTTCCGCTTCATACATTATAACTGTCTTTACGTTTGTATTAAAAATTCTGAGTTTGGTGTTGATTGACTGCTATTTTGAGTTCCAGATATTCTTCAGTTGGGAATATGCTGCTCTTACTTTGCTCAAACGTTTTTTGGTAAGGCTTAATTATAGTGACGAATCAATCGAAATCGAGGAAAGGACTTCAAAAACACGGAAAAAAAGGTCGATTTAAGATTATGGTATTTACCAAGATGATTATTAATTTCAGCAATAAAGTTGTTATAAAACTTCAGATTTTTAATGATTTCATTCATTTGCGATTGTGTTCATGAAATGGTGGTCAGATGATTCGAAGTAGGAGATGAAGTCACATTTAATTGTAATATAATTTAACAAAATAATGAGAAGAGATTAAGTATTTGTCTCTATCAAAGTTGAATCTCAAAGAAACAATACTTAGTACTACAAACCAAAATATTCACTGCAACTTTTATGAGAAATGTATAACAATAATTTGTACAAATTATTCTTTTCGAAGTCTTATATCAGTTATACTATGTAGCATGGGATTCCTTAGATGTGCGCATCCATGATCCCACACAATGGATTCGAACCTAGGATCTCCGGTCTCGTGCACACGCTTAACATTTAGACCGTTGAGCTAGCATCTAACGGTATTAATGTTTAACTTCAGTCAATCCCTGATCTTACGCAACACTTCATCCATTGTCTGAGGTGGATAAATGTCTCACACCCGACGTGGATTGGACTCCAGTGATCATGGCATCTCACTAGAACTCCAGGAGTTCCATCTTGAAGCTAGTCACTGGCGAGCACATGATGATTATTATCAGAACGGAGATTTATGGAGATCGCAGTAATTTTAATAGTTGAATTCACGAACCGGTCTAAGCTAAACCACCAATACTACAATCTTCACAAATCCCCATTCTGATAACAATATTACATTATAATTTACTATATTTCGTAGCATTCATTACTCATTTTATCTTCTGTTTTCTGATTAGCCAGACTGGGTCAAGTTCGATTATGGTTATTTTAGAAATTAGTCAAGTTAAAGGTTGTGATTAGACTTCGACATATATTTCAACCACCAAATAGTAATTTAATAGAAAATAATCTTATTAATTGCTGGAAACTGGAAATTAATGAAAATAGTTACTAAAGTTAAGCTTAAAACAATCACAAGGAATTTCCGGTCAACTCTTAGGCAATCAGGAAAAAAATTATATTGTTAGAGTCTTCAAAAAAGAAAAGAAAAGAAATAAGAAACAGTATGATATAAACTCGTCCTCGTGAATACAGATTGCCCGTCCTTTTGAACTCTTATAAAGACACAAATAGATTTGTAGGAGTTTTTGCGTTGTTCCTAGTTAGGGTTAGGCAATTAGGATAAGAATTAGGGCATTAACCACACCTTGACATTAGTTGTAATGTAAAATTACTCTGTAGCTATGTGAATGAATGAATTTAACTCAAAAATATCATGGAAACTATCTGATCAATTCATCCGTAAAACAGTACTATCAGGTCGACGTTGGTTTCAAGATTAAAGGTTTAGGTTTGGGATTTAGGCGCAGTGTCAGCTGGTCTGTTATATACAATCTACAGAGAAAAAATTGATGATTTAATACGTTTAACACCATTGATTTTACTTTATAGTTGAGAAATATTCATTTTTTGCTATCATTCTAAATGTTTTGAAGAGTATACAAGTAAATTTTCCATGGTAGTCTAGCTTAAATTGACTCGTAGTTTCAACCAATGAAATTTCAAAAATCTCCTTACAACCCCTTCTGATAATAATAATCATCTGCTCACTAGTGACTAAATTCAAGAGAGACTACTGGAGTTCTAGTGAGAAGCCGTGACCAGTGAAGTTCAACCAGGTCTGTTGTGAGATGGTGACGGTGGCACAACTTCGTGGATTGGTTGAAGTTAGACATTAACACCGTTGGATGCCGGTTCAGTGGTCTAGTTGGATAAGCGCCTGGCGCGAGACTGATAGGTCCTGGATTGAAATCTTGCGAGGCGTGATCGTGGATGCGCACTGCTGAGGAGTCCCATACTAGGACGAAACGGTCGTCCAGTGCTTTCAGGTTTTCCATGGTGGTCTAGCTTCAATTGACTCACGATTTCAACCAGTGAAATAAATTTTTATCAGTCGTTGTACTTGATATCTCAGTTTTACTTGAAAACCTAAAAAATCGCGTCCTTGATTCTGATTGGCTCGTCCTTAAAATATACTTTACCGAAAAAAAAACATATTTCATCATCATCCATACATTTGAATAACATGATGTGAAAGTTAAACCCTTCTGTAATTCTTATTCATTAAGCTGTTGAGTAAGTTGCCTACTTGATAAACTATGTATCATAAAGAGATTAGTTTCTTTCTTGTTATTATTACTTTCGTTGAAATTACACTTCACAAGGGACATCATACAATAGTGTTAGCTGGTACTTGATACTATGGCTTTATGATAGCTTTGAGGGAAATAAGAATTTTTATAAGCTTCCATGACATGTTACCAAATGTTATTTTAGGTAAAGATGTTAACATGAATCTATTTGAACTGAATAGTACAACTGAAATAATGATTATATTAAAATTTAAGTTCTTGATGTAAACATATCCCTATGACAGTTATTACACTAATGATTATCTTTAAAATGAATTTTTCACATTTCTATAAGAAAGCCATTATGGATGAAATCAATCAATTTAGCAATGATATCAGCAAACAAATTAGACAATCATGATGACGAATATGTTCTACCGCATATTAACTGAAATTGATTTGAAGTTGTTTATTATAACAATGAAAACTTTAATGATACTTTAATCTAGGCTAAAACAATTAGCTTTTCTTTTGGTCCTATTTACTCTAGAACACAAATCTTGGAAGTAAAATTTCAGTAGTGTCTTGTTACGGGTATGAGGGCTGGTGTCACTTCCCGGCTGCCCACACCGTGGAAGGGTATTTCTTGAGGAACCTGAAAAGAAAATCGGATTAGCGTTGGTCTTAACGACCTGGGTGCGTGACGGCAGAGCCCAAGGGACAACTGCTTGAGGCCGGTCGCGCACGGCCTTTTTGTGGGAGGTTTTTAATGTGTTAGCTCCGTTCTTCAAAGGGTTTTACCGCCGGAGACGGAAATCCGTGGGGTAAGGTGAGGTGTGACATTTTCAGGGTCAACCTTTTCTAACCCCTTCCTTCCTTGTGAGAAGGCAGCATCGCTGAAGATGCTGGTTGTCCGAGGGAAACACCTTACTGCTGTCACACCTCTGTACAGTCAGCAGTACGACTTCGCCCTCAGACCTTGAGTTGCTGCTTTTAGTTTTACCGTTCTCCAATCGACCTGCCTGGCATGGTAGAACCTGCAGGAACATGTGTTCCAGCCAATATAGCTCGGTTGGGTCATCACGATAGGCAAGCCCGACCACCACATCAAAGTAGCAGCTACGGTTGGGAAATATCCCTCAGAGGATCTTACAAGCGAACTCATTCAATTTTATGTTAGTTAAAATTTACTAAATGGTTTCTATTAAGCTACTTACAAGAGTATTCTTATTGCCGCATAAATTCGTGATATAATATAATATGAAATAATAGACTCTGATAATGGAAAAGTTTGGAATAACAGCTAATTATCAATACTAACCAAGTATATGGATTATAAATAGATTCAAATGTTGTCTAACAGTGGGATCCAGGACTCATATTTCATCCCATTCGGAATTCATCATCTAGATATACCTATAGGTATATAAATAAAGTTAAAGAAATTAAAAAAGATCGCAAATAATTCATTGATCCATTGAAAATTAACTAAATAAAAATCACTAAAAATCAATATATGAATCATTTGATTGATTCCTTC